AGTTTTTGTATAGTTTTTTTGTGATGTTATTGTGTAGTTTTTTGTGTTGTTTTGTGATTCCCCTGGTCCTGCTGCAGGGCCTGGGCTGCCTGGTGTGGCAGGACGTGGCCCACAGGGTGATGGTGGTCACCCCCCAGGGACACAGCGAGGTCAAGAGGTTCTGGAAGCGCCAGAGATCCAACACATGACCCAGGAAACCCGCCAGGGAAAGGGAGGGAAGGAAAACACACTGTTTTTGTAGGATTATTTCTATGTTTTCTAAAATAAACGATTCTTTGAACTGCTCCTCGTTTCACTGATTGTTTGCACACTCACACACAGATTATATATATTTGCAGGTTTGCCCACTTACAAAGAATGCTTATTTTTCCTCATCAGATGGTTATCAATTTTTATAAATTCATATGATGTGATTTTCTGGAATTTTCTTTGGGATTCTGTCTTTCACTGTTAGAATGTACATATGATTAAAGTTATAGATCGTTGCATTCTTTGTAAGTGGGCAAACCTGCAAAATCAGCAAGGGGTCAAATACTTATTTCCCCCACTGTATATACATATATATAGTTTTCTATATTTACCTGGTTGTGTGTCAGAATATGAGGCTAAAGGAGCGACTTGAAGCGCTAAAAAATGAGGTTCCACATCCCGTTAGTTGGTTTCTACAAACGCGGTTTTCCTGGAGCTTTCCGGTTGAACAGGATTCCTCTTTATCTGGAGTTTTGTCCACAAAGGGAACAGACAAACGTGGACACACAGTCTTTAAGGCAGGCCCACAGAAATACTGGGGGGGGTTCTGGTGGCCCAGACTGCTGATGGGAGGGGGAGACAGATGTGCTGGTGGTGCCTTCAGGTGTCATCAGCCAGCACCAGACTTAAGAGCTTTCTGTGTTGATGTGTTTTCTGTCCCGTTGGACGTTGCATGTAATGTGAAAAAATAAGTTTTCCCCCTCCTTTCCCAAGTAAATCAATGATTTTAAATGATTAAGTATTACATTTTCTTTTACTCTTTAGAATAGCACATAAGGAATCTTTGCCGTTATTTATTTATTTTTACTCTACTAGGTTTATTTTTCACCCGGACTGAAAATAGGCCTTAAGAGTTACTTGTTAAGCAAGAAGTCAAAAAGATCTGACTGGTGATCTTGACCCTTCCGATAGCAACTTAATGTATCGTGGAGGGAATTTGAAGTGGATATTTCCAACGTAAACTTGACGGCTTCACCAGAAGTCACAATTTCGAGTTTATCTAAAAGAACACAAATATGATTATGAATAAAAAATATAGAAATAAACTAAATCCGCTTCGGGGTCAGACAGGTAATGTCTGTGGACATCGAGGTAAGAATTGGCAAGATTTTTTAAATGTTATTTTTAACTATTTACAATTGCTCAGTAACACCCTCTAATGGTCAGCTTTACACACACACACACACACACACACACACACACACACACACACACAC